GGGGTGGCTGTGATTGTCTCCTAGTCCCTGCAGGAGGAGGTGTCGATTTCCTTTCCCTGACTGAACATTTGCATGTTAAAAAGGCGCAGTTCCTTTGTGGGCAGGATTCATCAGGGCCACATTTTCTACTTGAAGGGGCAGGGTGCGGGCTTTGGACTCCAGGTAAAGGAGAGAGCAACTTCCTAACCCTCCCTCTCACCGTTTTTCCTCTACCCCACAGCGGCTCTGGGAGGCCAGAGTGAGATTCCTGTGACCCTGTGTGCAGCGTTTTGGCAGGTGGCTCAGGGCTGGTCCCACCGGGCGGGCGGCAAAAGCTGGAAGCCGCAGCCTGCTGCACACCCCCGGTGGCATGAGGCGGTGCCATTAGAGCCTCTCCATTTCCCGTATCCAGAGAAGCAATTTTCAGGGTGAGGCACGGAACTCATCAACATCTCTCATCACACCACGTCACTGACCTAAATATAGACAATGACTTCAAGGAAGAGAGGGGGCGGGGGAAGAAGTTGCAAGTTCTTTTACACCTGCAAATGCTGCGGAGAGCGTCAAACAAACTGGCAATGAGGAACAATAGATAACCAGTCAGATGGGAAGGCAGCAGAGAGGCTGTTCTAGAATGATGGCTGTGATAAGGCCATTACGGTGTCTCAGCGTAACATCAATCCTCATTTGTAAGGCGGGGTGGAGATAGCCCTGAGGGAGCAGCTCTGGGTCCCTTGCCAGCTTTTCCACGGGGAGCCCTGCGGGAGGAAGGGGGCATCTGCCACAGATCTTCCTGGCTGAGCCGGGCTGGTCTCTTCACTGGGTAGTGCAGGGCTCTGATTCAAAGAGGCAGGCACTCACTGGACGGGAAGCCATTTCTTTCCCACCCAAGAAGAGCACTGTGCAGTCTTTGTGACCAACAGCCTTCCCCAGCAGCCACTTGGAGCCACCCGCCTGTCTGGCCTTCCCCTGTCGCCTCCTGTGTCAAAGCCCTCCTCCACTCTGGAAGGCAGAAGTGCCCTGGATCTCTTGTGTCTGCCAAGAGGGGTGTCAGCCAGGGTCACTCTCTCTCCCAGAACCTATTCAGAGTCTTGAATGACATCATAAGAGTGCCTACCTTACGGATGTGGGCATTATTCACCTGCCAGGTGAGCGGAAGGGCTGTTTTAGCAGCTTTTATGAACATGAATCCCATGTCTAGGGACATCGGAAAGACACCCGAGCCAAACATTAAGTGTAGCTAGGCTAGTGACGTCAGCAATTAGGACACAATCGTGGGCAATCATTGTGGAGGAAGAGTCACCTGTCTCTCACATGCTTCTAATGCTCTTCCTGTTCACTCAGATAACTATCTGCGTAAGAACTGCAGCGGGGGAGGCTCCAGAGGCAAGCTAATTGCCTGCTGTTAGGGAACCAGGGAGCCACTCCAGACTGGGGCTGTCCACAACTCCGTCATTTAGGCTGAAACACAAGCCCGTGCTCTTCTGTGTGCGCAGAGCATCCATAAGTGCAGCCATCAATTTGTGACCTCAGAGAGTACGTAGCTGACCCCAGCAGAAGCAGATGCCACTGTGGCAAGGAGAGCCCTGGCCCTTGGCAAAGTAACAATGCAGAAGAACGGAAAGAACAACACCACCCATGAGGTAAGAGGCCAAGGCAGCGCTGCACCTGGAGTAAAACCACGGCTCTAGCAAGAAACGAGGACAAGAAGCCACCCGAATGCTCCAGCCAAACCAAATGACAACCAGGAAAAGATGCTGGCTCAAGAGGAGCCCAAGGTCAGAATCCCCACCAGGGACAGTTTGGGCAGGGACATCTTGGTGGCTTCCCTGACATAGTGACCCTCTCTGTGGCTTTTACTGATGTTCTGGAAAGTGAGACTGAGTCAGAGCGAGGAAAATAAGGATCTGTATGAAGGAAAAAAAAAAAAAAAACATCCCCAAAGGGTGGCAGAAAGAGTGGCTCTGGATTACAAATGTCAGTTTAAGGGGATCCACCATAATAGAAATCTAGTTGCTCTGTTCTGTGCAACGGGAGGACTCTGGCACTGGTGGTTTCTACAAAGGGCTGGAAGCTAACTGGGTTCAGAGTCTGGAAGATCCCGACAGTGTTTCACTTCTGCAGGGCTTCCGCCTCCCTCCACAGACCCCGGGAAATATACTCTCTGGGATAGGTGAATGCAATTAAAAATTACAAAAGACTAGCAGGGGGAAAAAAGCAATTTGGTCAAGAAGAAATATGCCCAGAGTCATTTTTTTTTTCCAATCCAATATCTTTGTTAATTAAGCATTTTCCAACCTATGATGAGAATACTAATAGTAATCGAATACTTACTACTCATTACTAATAAAACATATTTGTGAAATGGAAATGTAATGTGCCTATTTCCAAAATGTGGTTATAAATGACTTACTCTCAGCCACAATTTAAAGTGGTTTGAGAAATGAGTCTTTAATAAAGAATTGATGAGGAACGATGACTGTTGGAAATAATTCTATTTGGTAAGATTATGTGGTTTGCTATGGCAATTTGAGCTGAGGTGATTGCCTCCAAAATTACTGCAAGTAACTAATATAGGGAAATTTAATTGATGATAAATACAGTGGTGGTATGTCAACTCTTGAAAAAGTGAGCATGTAATTGAACAATTCAGCATCATCTTGTTTGCTAATTATACTCGGAGTCATTACAGCGTTGTCAAGATGTTATTTGTCTGACACGTTTGCACATAGTAGGGATTTAAAAGGTGAGTGAATAAGTACCTATAATTAGTCCTTGATGTGGATTCCTATATACAATTATAGTTAATCATAAACCCATTAACATTTAGGGGAAAAAAAACCAATTATAATATGGCTTAGGCTAGAGCCATAATAGCATTTGTAATAGTCAGTGAAGTCATAGTCAGCATGGTCAGGCAGCCTGGATGTCAGGTTGTCACGATTTGGCCTGAGCTTCTTAGAAGGAAGAAACAAAACAACAAACAACTCACCAAAGCTCACTTCTCTTTTTTAACCGTCTTACTGCACTAACGGGTCAGGGTGTCTTGACTTGAGCAAAGCATTTGTTGGTACTTCCTTGGGATCCCTTTGTGCAGGGAAGCTGTGCCCTTGTAGACCTGGACAGATATCATGCACACAGAGACTCCTACCGTGACACAAAGCTTTGTCCTAAACTGTGAAACCCGAGGGAATAAAAAGGCCCAGACCATCAAAGAGCTGAAACACTAGTGAGGCCTAACCAAGAACAAACAGCTGAAGAGAACAGGGTAAATGATCAATGGCACCGAGGACTAGCGCTTCAAAGACTGGGCTGCAAGTGGGCCAGGGAGGGCTTTCTAGAAGTGACGATTGTTTGTGTTTGTTTAGAATTATTATTTTTTTTATTGTAAAGAGTCAATGGCCTTTACTTAATGTGAAAAATAAGCAGAACAAAGATGCTCATGGACTGTTGTTGGCTCCACGCTTTGGACGCAAGGTGGAAACCCTTTGCTGGGCAGCCTCCTTGTCTCCCTGTGGCTCTTGAGTTAAGTCTTAAAGGAGGAGTAGAAGTTTATGAATTAGATTAAGTATTGCTGGAGGCTTCCACGCAGAGAAACAGCCTGTGTGAAGACATGAAGAACCTGTGTTGGAGCAAGTGCTGAGGTAGACCCCGGAGAATAAGAGGTAGGGCCAGGGCATGACAGGAACCAATGATGAAGTCTTGTGACAAACCAAGAGAATGGATTCTATGGGGCAGTAGTGGACGGCTCTGAATGGATGCCGTTCTTCATCTGTGTTAGCCGTTTGTATCCCAGCATAGCAACCAGGAAGAATGACAATTACAAGAAAAAAAAAAATCTTACCAGACCAGCAAAGATAAATATGAAAGCCTGAATATACAGCTTCATAAACACTAACTACTCTGTGCTGTGCTAGAAAAATCTTGTCTATATGTGGTTTATGTTAAAAGATGTGAGATCTGTAATTGATTCAAACACTGTTAAGCTGAAGACCAAAAAAAATGTGATAATTGTCAGTGAACTCTGACATTTAGTGACATTTGGAATTTTATATATGATCTAAAAATCTCATAAAAAAGGTGTCAGTTGATCTGAGCATGTCAGAGAGAGGACAGTCTCTGTGACAATGGGTCAGGTAATCATGCCTACTTGAAGGGACTGGAAGGAGCTGGCAATGTCTGAGTTGGAGAGGAGATGAGAAATACTAAGGCACTGCTTGGCCATCTGGAGGTTGCATGTGAAAAAGATTTACCCCGTGTCACAACATAGGGCCAAGGTGGAGAGTGAGGAAGGACTGAATGTGAGGAAGGACTTTGAAATCACTCCATATCCAAGAAGTATGAGTGGGGACAAGCAAGGACTCCCCGAGAGTTCAGGAGAAGATTCGTGACTTTGGCCAGAGTTTCACGTAGATGACCTTGACAGTCCTTTCAACCCTTCTATTCTCTAAAATGTCAGTAGATCCTGGCTGTATCCGGAATCTCTGATCTCAAAGTAAACCAACGGTCCCATTGGTTGGTGTTAAATCTAGTTTGTGTTAAAATACTCAACAAATATTTTTTGCACAGTTGGACAGTTTTGGAGGAGGATCAAAAAATAAAACACGTTCCGATGGTCTGTCCTTTCCCGGAGAAAATGTGCAACACCACCCCGTGGATGATTGTTGATCGTATGAAATTGAGGAAGGAGCCCAATTTGGCATTCATTATTTCTGCAGAAATCATGCAGAAATATGTTATGCTAATATTGAGCTTATAAAGTACCTCAAGGATAGAAGGATTCCTTTGCCTTATGAAACCAAAACAACAAGAGCCAGGTTGACAGAGCGTATGGAGTCCCTCAGGTACTCCTCGTTCTGGCTGCTGGGCTGTAGGGAGATAGGCAAAAAAAAGAAGAGATGATTTCTCTTTCAAATGGGTACCAATGGCAGGGCCACCCAAACCCCTCAGAGAACAGGGAGGTTTCAACTTTCATAAGCAGGGACAATTGATGAGCTCATGGCAAGGAGGTTTCCGATTACGAGTGGCTAAACCAGGGTAAGTATCAATTCCATACACCAGAGATCTATGTCTACCTGTTATTTATCAAAAATCCTCAGGGGTAGAAATTAGCATTAGACTGCTGTTTTTAAATGTCTAAGTGAGTTTTAAAAGCCCGAATGAAGGTCCTCAGATGTGTTTGGGAAAACTGACTGACACCTAAAATCTTAAAATACAAAATCAGAATTAACCAAACATTTTAAGTTTCGCTGGCACCAGGTCTCAAACTCAAACCTGGGATCCCTATTAGAACTTTCCTTAGACACTCCCCTCAGTTTTCCCACATGATAAATAGGCTGCTCCCTGTTTATTGATAAAGTCATGCTAGTAGCAACATTTTCTATCCTTGGCCAAGAGAGTGTGGCTTCGCTGATCCCAGTGACCCAGGTGAGAACCAGAAGAACATTTCTCTCTTGACAAAGGTACCAAATACACGCCCAATCTTCAGTACAGTCTTAGCATGGAATTGCCTTCTCCTGTGTGACCAAGGCTGAGATTCTGAGCTTGTGGCCAGGAGGAAGAAAAAAAAAAAAAATCAATCAAAGCGAATATGATATCCTAAGGAACAAAGGCCAGGGATTGCCACCCCCTGTATTTTAATAGGGATTGTTTTCCTCTGCTGTGCAGGAGGCTGGAGGGAGGAGGTGGATGTATTTATTGTCTGTGCTTCTTGTTCCCTTTAGGCGGGAAGAGAAACTAAAACAAGTGCAGCCACAACCTTTGTTCTCTCTGTTCTCCTGACCTTCCTCCTCCTTCTGCGTAGGGACCTTCTGTTTCTCACTCTTTCCTCTGGTTTTGATTTGCCAACAGCAACCTCACCTGGTGTCTTCCCACTAAACTCTCAGTCTCAAAAGTTAGGATGTGCCAAAGTCATTACTTACCCCCACCACTCCCACCCCAGGGTTGACCTGTGTATTTTAAAATAAAATACACAGAAAAGCAGAGATCCACCTGAGCAGGTAATCGATGTAAATAAATTATCTTAAAGGCTCTTTGGAAGTTACGGATAAGTGTCTCACATGAGTGCATATCACCCTTCTGGGACCGGCATGGATTCTTCTTAAATTTTAAATAGTAACCTTAGAATAAAGGAGATACATCTCCTTTATTTCTAGTTAAGAAAAACAACAGGCCAGAGAGCATAACAGTAATTTATGATTTTGCGGGTGTATTATCATCCTGTAATAAGTGCAATGTGAAACTGCCAATTATCTCATAAGAGGGGTATCACCTTTTCTGTTGTGAACGACTACATCAATAACTGTGGGTCCAGCCCCTTCACTCCCCCTACCCCTCCCCAGTGGCTCTGCAGCAGAAGTGAGCCAGAGAAGCAGAGGAGAAACAAAAACAGTCAACACACAAACACTCAAGCCAGAGAGCCCCTGGCCAGGGAACCCAGAGAGCACTAGAGGGAGAGAAAGGCTGCGGTGGTGGTGGTGGTGGTGGTGGTGGTGG